CGGAGATTGAAAGGGGATTACATTCTTAGGTGATCCAGCGTTCATGCCTTACGTGAAAGGAATAACGGAAAAAATCGGTACAGTACTAAAAAAGTACTCTATAAAAACTGTGTTTACGCCGTTATTTAAGGTCACGGGACATGTCAGATCACCTAAGCATGAAATCCCCTTTCAATCTCCGGACATTTACAAGATTGATTGCAGTTGTGGGAGTTCCTATATTGGACAGACAAAACGCAACATAGCGGAAAGAGTTAAAAAACACATCGCGGCTGTTAAGAACCGTCAGCTCAATAAGTCTGCAATAGCCGAGCATTTGCTGGAATCAGGACCAAACCACTGGATTGAGCTTCATAATCCCATGAACCTTTCTACAGAACGTCATCACTATAGTAGAATCGTACGTGAAGCTATTGAAATTAAAAAACACCGTAATTTCAACCGAGAAGATGGTTTTAAGCTTTCATCGTATTGGGATCCAGTAATCAGCAAGTGTAAATGACATCAAGTATCGCCCGACAGGTCGCCGGATGTCGAGAGTGTTGTGTGTCTGTCTATTGAGAACCCTAGTGCACAAATAAATAATGAAGTAATTAGAAATATTCGCGCGGCTAGAAGATGCTGAAACCCGCTTCTTCAGTCCCTTCGAGACCACGGACGTTGCAATATGTCCGAAACGTCGAGGTAAATAAAATAAAATATGTTTTATACGTGATTAAGTCCCAAATAAAAAATCAAATAGTGTGTAAAAATCGTGAAAGTTTAACATGAAACCGTTTGAAGGCGTCTTAAGTCAGACCTCATTTACGGGAGCACTGACATAAAATCACACAAAATTCCATGCAGGGTGTCGCAAAACAGTAACATTAAATTTCAGACGTTCTATAGTCACGGTGTGTAATGTAACTTGGGTTTTCCTGTTTATTTCAAAATTATTTTATTGATCGAAGAAGTGGAATGTTTTTGTCAAGAAACCAACCAATTTAGTGTTCCAAGAAATGGACTTAAAAAAGCCTGAAATATGCTCATTCAGAAGTGTAGAAAAATTATTTCATCTTTGTGGGGTGATGTAACTGTCCGATTTAATCCGTTTCCTTGTTATTATAGTTTGTTCTGAATGAAAACGTTCTACGATCGTTACAGGTACTTACAGGCCCCATGGTCACGGCTGACTGAGATGGTAATCATTAAACAGTTATGCCTAATATTTGCAAACTACCCTATTCTTATTACTGATACAAAAAATATGGAACAAACACAAAGAAAAATTCCTTCGATCCGGCTGGACACTGTGACCAATGTCTATTGCCTCACCGTAGCTAGCGCTCTTATAACTGAGTACAAATCGAGTCCTATTCTTTACATAGCCTTTATGTTAGTTCTGCAATTTAATGTAAGTTCATAAAATGTTAAGTATGGCAAAGTAACGTTAAAAGGTTATCATTATTTATCCTAAGGAGTTGATTAATATGTAGTATGCGAGGGAAGAGATGCTTTAAGTTATTAGTATTTGAAATGATTTTACGTAACCCCGAATGTATTTCACAAAGTTTCTGTAGAAAATTGGCCAGTTTTCTTGGGCTCAGCTTAGTAGAAGAGAATTTGCTTAATAAACCGTTGGTGTGAAAATTTCAGTTAACGCCCAAAGATTCCAATGGTAAGATAAAGGCGGTGAGGAGCCATTATTCTTTAATATCAAGGAAAAACCAAAGTACAATTTGTATTTTCGCAAATAACAAAGTTTGGGCATGGAACGGAATTACTTTGTTGAAAAAAATATGAGGCCACTTTTTAAGCTGGTAGAGTGTTTTAAAACTTGCTACGTTTCTTTTATTTGGGATTTTCGTTAGCGTGGTTTGTTCGTCCTGTAGACGTAGTTATTTATGGGCATTATATTTTTGCTCCAGGCCGTTGTACAGCATACAATTACCGTTGTATTTTATATTACGAATACAACATACATATAATTATCTTGGACATCGTCCGCTCGTAAAGATAATTTCTTAATAAAATGTCGACTTGAAATTAAATATTTATTTATTTTATTTATAGTTTTATTTATCCAATTCGTGACTGTCAGTGACTTTTTAAGTATGGCCAGTTCGTTTCTACTTCAGCGATAATACCTGATTTATAACATCAATTGCCTCAGAAATTAAATACGGAATCTACAAGTAATAAAAGCTCTTTGAGCTTATTAAAATTATGAACATTACTGCACTGTTTACTGAGCTACCAAAAACTTTGTGCAAGTAAAAATAAGCAAACAATCGAATGAAATGCTGAAAGTTCCGAAAAACCTTGCTGACGTAATACTACTCTACTAATATAAATTATATTTTACCAAAAACTATCATTAGCCGTTATATCGCAAATCATCTCGTTGTTGTCGGCGCCTGTGTGTGTCCTTGTAATGCGACAAGTGTGGTTAAGCTTGCCCCCGTGGCATGCTGCCGCGATAAAGCTATTATATCTATATTTAGTTGTTCAATTCGACTGATAAAACGCCATTTTAAAATTTTATCACAATAGCTAACATAGCGAGTATCGTGACGTCATATTGATGTCACATCGGAATCGCCGTGACAAATGACTGCAAAAGAATATCGCAGTGCCAAACATGTCCGCAAGGTGACAGCTGATTTTAAAATATTTTGATAGTTTTGCATAGTAATTTTATCAACGTAAAAATTGACCGTGACAAACAAGATGAAAGGAAACTGAAAGTATATTTTTCTTTCGTCGTTTTCGCCGCGGTGATTAAACGACAAAGATAGTATCAAAATGTATAACAATAGTTCATTACCAAATAAACAAAAGAACGAATGACTCTAATGAGGTATTTTACCGATTCAATATTCGTAATAAAAAACAAATTTTAATACTGGCAACATGTCTTTAACAAGTGAAATAAATATGTCACGGGGAGGTTTATCAAACGTTGCATGTGATAAATACTGCCATGTTGCGGCCCCAAACCGATTCTGATTCGATAAGTGTGGTGAGTCCCGAAGTATGTATGTATCTTATTATGCACTGCTCTAAACTGAAACAGCGATTATAAAAGCGTATAATTTATTCGAAATGTTCCAGTCAACCTTAAGCAGCAAAAATCTTCTCGAACAATAAGCAATAAACATGTTTTGTTCAGAATTAAGTTCAATCATAAGTTACGGTTATAAAACCGAAAATTGCGGCATAGGACAACTTCGATGTAATGTCTTTCTGTGGAATCTTCCGACTTTAATTAATTTATAAGCCTACGACGTGGGTACTTTAATGACATTGACCATAAATCTATTACATTCTATTAATTAATTTATTCTACAAAACGTCTCACCATTGGGATCCTACTTTCAGGAAGATTTATTTTAGTGCTTTTAATGTCTTGGGTTTTTTTTAATAAAATTCTGTAAGTTGATACGTATAGAGTCAACATAAAATATGTAAGTGACGGGACGAACAAGTGGTAAGCGCCTGTCCGTAACAGTTGCAGTGCCACTTAGAGATTTAAATCGCAAAAATCTCAGGGGCACTGCCATTGCGCCCGTCACCCTAAGACATAAAGTTAACAAGTCCCATGTGCGTGTAATTTCACCAGCCTTACCCTTCAAAATCGGAACGCAGTGATGCAGGTATTACTGCTTGGTAGCAGATTTAAGTAATGTGGCAGTACTGCCCTGGACGAACTCTTTCATAAGGAGCTCTACTGCTACTTCATAATTATATTTAGAAATATATGTAATTCGAAGTAAGTGGTACTATGTTTTAGTTACAAATATTGTCATTTTTGTTGATTGATGGTGTTGGATTGAACATCCAGATAAATCGATTAATAAATTATATGGCGTAATAATCTCAGTACTCTCAGAGTACTAAAAAACCGACCTCAAAAGTCATTCATCCCTTAGTTTGCCACCCTTAGAGGTGGAATATTTTCTTCAAAATTAAATGGGACCACTTCTGAGGTGCCCTCTTTCCAAAAAAAAGAATCATCACAGTCGGTTCACAAATCCGGAGTCATAGCGTAACATACATACAAAAAAATCATAATTGAATTGAGAATCTCCTCCATTTTTTGAAGTCGGTTAAGAATATGTTTTGCAGTAATTATGTTTTGAAATAAACATAAAACAGATTAAAAATTCTGAGAATCTTAATTACAATTGGAAAAAAATCAAATACTTAAATATATTTTTTTTAAACATGGGTACTTACGTTTCAATCCTTTCGATGTGTACCTAATTCAAAAGCTAAAAATCTAGTAAATTCACGCACAATATTACTAAATTTTGAAGTAGAGATGACGAATGGCAATTCGCCTACAAAATGTAAATGTGTGTGTGAGGTCTTTAACCGCTACTTTCAACATGCTACATTTTTACGACTTTTTGATATATGTAAGAAAAATATGGTTCAAACGTTTGGTGAAAGTGATGTGATCATCTCAAATTGCTACTTTTACATGCCAAAAGTTCTAGTGTCTTTGAATAAGAGTTTTATCTAAAATCTTAGTAAAGCTAAAATACATTTCGTTGCAAAAGAGTTGTACGTGTCGACATTATTATGAAAATCGTTATATTGTACAGATTAGCAAACTTTTTTGCAACCAACGGCAGTAGATTGAAATCTAATTTGGTGTTATGTGTTCTACAATAGGTAGTTGAAGTAGTGGTCTATTTTGGAACTACTTGAAATAGTGTGGTAGGTTAGGTTTGAAAATATGTTTGAATTTGGAATAATTTGATTGGAAATTTAATGGCTATGTTTAAATGCGACTTTTCGAGACAAACTGGCAATTCCTTTGTTTATAATTAAAAAAATCACGGTATTCCAACTTGAACGTCATTGGTTGTACTTTAAAAAAAGTTAAACATTCTATATTCGAATGGATTGGAATTCTTCATATTACCAGTTTGAACCCCGAAAATCCCGTTTCTAATGGAATTTTGATCTAAGAAAGTCTAAGTACATGCCAAGTTTTGTACTCTTTAGCTTACTTTCGGACTGCGCTGTGAGACCTGAGAAAATAGCAACTGATTAGTAGAGTAATATTGAATAAGTTATCTAGGTTACCTAGTTAGGAAATCTAGATGGAGTATTCTGTGAATAGAAATGTAGCGGAGAGTTGAGTAACAGAAAAAATAAATTGAGTAAATTATGTTGCGAATAAATAGTAGAAAAAGTGTTCCATTTTTAAAATACACTGAGCTATTTTCGTTACAAATGTAAAAACATAAAATGGCCAGAATGATGTGATTTGTAAATCAAAGGGTTTTAATATTATGTTTATAAAATATGACGATGTTTCGCTACCATAGTATTTAATGATTTTTTTGTGAAATTACTTCATTAGTTTGTTATAATTATTAATAGAAAGATCGAAAGACTAATAAAATTCTTTCGATTTGGCTAGATTTGAACCAGCGCCTTCAGCATGACGTGGCTGACGCGCGTAACGGGTTTTGTTTGTCTGTGAAATAAGTGAAATCAATCTCATTCACATAATGTTTCTAACTATAATAAATTTAATGTTTCTATTAAAAATCTATTTTCATGGATAACTTTGGAAAATCATCGAGTAAACCTAACATTTACATCAACAAACTCTTAAGGCTCTTTATCTTGAAAACTTATGCATGCATTGTTGATGTTAAGCGTGAAAAAGATACGATTTTTCGAAACAGAGACTTTTTTGAGTAAATAAACGCATCTGTATTCTGGTATGAAGGGAGAATAGACCGTAAATTTATTAGAAACATCAGTCAAGCGCCTATCGCCCGTGGTGAATAACCGGTGGGCAACCGGTGAAATATTATAAGGATAACAATGAAATAAGAAATATTGATGGATGCATGCGTAATCAATCACACGACTGTGGGATTCTGAGTGAATGTCTTGGAGTGTTATTGCTTTGGGGATATGTCAAATCGTATAAGTAATCCATAATATGACTAAGTAACTCGTGTAATTTGTTTTTCTAGAAAAAGATAAACAATAAAATCGAGAGACAAAAATAACAGCAGTTATTTAAGGATTCTTTATTTGATTATTCCATACTGTATATGAAATACTATGGTAGGTGGATTGATAGTATAATAGTTAATGTTTAAGGCGTATTTCTTATACATACGAACAGGCAAACATCACACTCGACTGTAAATAATCTATGGTCTAAAGATTACGACGGTAAGCTCGAATCTATACTTTATAGTATAACGACATAATGTTGCGTTTTCCTGTATAAGAATATAGAAGTTTTAAATGTATTTTACACCAAAAGCTCTGTGGCACCCTTTGTATCCGTGTCTTATCGCGCTTAACTGGGTTTCCTTTATACACCACTTTGAACCTCGATGCTTGTCAGAATGGGTCACAACCTATTATTAATCTAATAATTATGTTAAGAATACAGTTTCCATATTTTAGAAAATGCTTTTTAAACGTAAACAATAAAAATGTCTTTGAATGTGTGAATTTAAATGAGAATTATAGTCGCGCAACAAAGTAACATAATTATCGATGCCTTACTTTCTGTAACTTGTATCTTATAAAGAGTGATTTTTCAGGAAATGGCAAAACTTTCTATTTATTTTAAATTTCAAAGCTTTTAATTTGAAATAAGAATAGCTAAAAGCCAGTGTGCGAATATGAATGAAATGTGATGTGAAATCAACCTGCAATATTTTTATATACAAATATTTTTTCGCAATTCAGTAATTTGTGCTTTACGATAGGAGTTCGAGAAAGTAAGGTGAGAATATCGCATCCCTGGTGTAATAAGGCCATGTCTGCAAAATCGCAAATTTTAGAACAGACGTTTAAAGTTCTACAAATGAAATTAGTCGATGATTTTTTTATTTTTAAATAGGAGTTATTAAATTTCACATATCCGTAATTTGCATCATGAAGTTTGTATGCAAGACAGCTCTTCACAAGGTTCTAGTGTGCAAGCTCATACAATCAAGATCCGTGTCTACAAAACTGTAATTAGACCGGTCTTTAAAAAAAAAAGATTTCCTACACGTTCCTCATTTATTTTATAATTGCATTGTATTGCTAGGTTTATTTCTCTAGGTGTAAGTAGTGGTTGTCTATGTGTGTGCCCAAGGCACCCGCGACACAGGGTTTCCTTAGTGCGTGGCTATAAAAAAAAATCATTATAATCATTCATAATAACTAATTTTATTTATCATTTCCACACTGCTTTTTCATGTAACAAATAAAAATTTGAGTCATGATTTACTTTCGTAAAATATTACTTTAAGTCGCTCTCTTATAATGTTTTCCAAATTTACGTCAGACGTTTTATCTTTCCAGGGTCGACATACAACAGTCATTATTTTTTCCATTTTTTCATGACGACCTTGATAGGTCAAAGGTTTACATTAGGGCATTGATTGAGGAGGTCTCGGGTTCGATTTCCGGTACGACTAATACCGGAAACCAACTTTTCTAAATTGATTGTGATGTTCTGGGTAATGCCCCGGATCGAATCCCGTTGGTCTGATACTACCTAGTTATAGTAGTGGTAGCTTATACCAACAAACTAAATAAAAAAATAACTTTTTATAATTCTAAATAACGTTCTAGCATATGGAGTTCAATATTTGGTAGCATCAGATCATGGTTTTAGTTTCATAGAAGAAACGGTTACTTCGTAAAAATAACGATCTCCGTGATCGAGTGGTTAGCTCACCGGTTCTCATGGAGTCCCTATCTCGTGCCGGGTCAATGTAGACATAGTTTGTCTACATTGACCTTTACCTTGATCTTTTCTGTATATTGTCTCGAGTCTGGGTGCTTGCGGTACCGTGTTGTTCCCTGTTTCCATAACACAAGTGTGTTAGTTACTTACGAGTACTTTGGGATCGGCGCGACGTATGTGACGTCTAATATTTATTTATTTGTAACAATTTAAGTTAAAACTGAAGTTTTGTAACCTACCGTGTGACGCACGCATCTCGCGAACCTACCGTGAGACGCAGTTCTGGCATTCTGCGAGGAGGTCATGATGCAGAAGGAGGCGGCGGAAAGGGAAAGGGAAGATACAGCCCCTGTCCCGATTCGCCGTTGAGAGTGGGTCGCAGAAGGAGAGGCTATGGTTCTCCAGCTGCCGACATAGGTGGGTAACGAAACGTGGGTCGACATGGCGGCGTATGTATTCCACGTCTGCCTCTCAAGACGGGGAGATAAGAACTCTCCCCGAAAAGTGAGTTGGGGTTCGGTGCTCAGTCGGACCAATCACCGTCGGAGTCAGGTTTTAGTCGGTAGGAGTCCGACATAACCCTTCGCCTCCTCTGGGCGGAGGGTATTCGTTTCCTGACGTTAAAAAAGTCTCCGTCACTCGCTCAAGGATACGCGGTAAGTGCCTACCGCTGAGTGTACCGACGTCGGCACAAGCGTTCATACAAATCTTTCATTTATGAGCATTCGGCTCCGCACGACTGCTTATGGCGGGCAACGTTATTTTTACTTCTCTGAGCGCGTGCTTAGGTTCCTTTTTCCTCGTAGTGAGAGCCTGATGTCATTAGTTAGATTTAGTAGATTATTATAGCGTAGATGTTTTTGATTTTGTATGAGAGTGTCGTATAGAGCCTGGATACTATTTTACAACTCTTCTGAGTTTGAATTAGATGCTTTTCTTTTTTTTTATACTCCTATTTATTGACGAATGATGAATGTGTGAACATAATGTTGTTCGTTACAACGCGAAAGTTTCACAAATAAACCGTGTTTGAACCAGTATGAGCTGGTTTATATCGTACGGGATTTATGTGCCGTTTTATTGCTTGTTCGAAACTTTCCGACACAAATACGGAACCCCGAATATGGTGTTGGTAATGGAGCGAAATGGGTTCATATTGGACATAATGCGTATGTTACTGTAAAGTGTCCGTAGGCAAAGTTTTATAGGCTAAGGAGATTTATGAAGGTGTTTGAAATGTATAGCATGCTCCTCTGCCTTACAGAGGTCCCGGGTTCGATACCTGGTCCGGGAGAAATATTTGTTTGGCCTACATTTATTTCTGTCGTGAGTTTGGGTATAAAATGTGGTTGGCTATGTGTCCAAGTACCTAGTACGGGGCTCTAAGTGTGTCGTTATTTATATATGGATTAAATATATATTGGATTAATGTTATTTAGTATAGGTCGCAAAATCAAATAAAACGTATTAGAACTGAAAACGAAATAGACGCAAGATCGATGTCATAGGAAATATTATTTTTATATTATGTCAAAATATATTGCAATGGAAACATTAATGCACGTTGGTATGTCACTATTTAAAGTACGTGTAGAACCTTCTCAATAAAAATACATAAATAAATAAAAATATTCAGGTTTTTAAAGGTAAGTTCTTCTTTTATTCTTATTACTGAAAAGGCACATCTTGACAAAAAGAGAATCTAACACAAATAAAACTCTGCCCGTCACCTTACACCTTCTCTGTTCTATGACTCATTCATTTCTTTTCCTCTCATTATTCTTTCTTGTCGAAAAGTTACATTCCTAATTAATGAATTTTGGCCACGTCACTAGATGTAAAATTTTCTACACTCATGAAAATGTATTAAAGAATAAAAGTCGTCACGAATATAAACAAAAATATGTAAAAAATGTGTAACATAAACCAAAATGTACATCGGTAAAGAGAAAAGGCAAAAGTTTAATTAGCCATGTAGGGTACCTAACCGGAGCTAATTTTAAAGGCTCAAAGCGACTCTTAAACAAAAAGCACGACGAGAAAGTAACGAATTACAGGATTACTGTTTCGTCAAAAATGTACTCCGATTGCTACGAAACCTGGGCAGATTGACGCATAAAAAACATCCTAATTGTTGATGTATATGACGGCGGCGTCATCGTACGCTTTCTCTTACGACGCAAAACTGTAA